AGGATTACAAATGATAGCCTATCATGGCTACAAAATCATAAAGTAGCATTTTATCCCACAATGGCTTGGGTTTTCTCTGTAAAAACAGAAACTGTGGGGCACCTGGGTGGCTCAGTTGGTTAAGCCTCTGACTTTGGCTCAGGTCATGATCTCACGGTTCGTGGGTTCAAGCCCCGTGTCGGGCTCTGCTGACCGCTAGCTCAGAGCCTGGAGCCTGTTTCAGATTCTGTGTCTCCCTCTCTTTCTGACCCTCCCATGCTCATGCTCTCTCTTTCAGAAATAAATAAAATGTTAAAAAAACCAGAAATTTTTATATTGTATATGGTCATCTTTTCTTTAAAAAGGGAGAAAAGACCTACCTACCTATCAAGCAGGATATCAAGTATTGCAGAGGAGTGAATGTTTTTTGGAATTAATTGCTTGTACAGGGCAAGGGAATGCTGGCAAAATGGTGATGAAGTTCAGAAACAAACCTAGTGAAGGGTGGAAAAAGTCTGGCGAAGTATTCAAGCCATAATGAAGCACTTCACTTATAACAAAAATGTGCTTCAGCTGCCTGTGCTCAATGGCGATGTGGACGGCCCAGCCCTGGCCTCAGTGAACGCCCTCACGTCTGGCCTTCCAACAACGCAGCAGGGAGAGCCCCTCCGGAGAAAGGGCAGAACCTGTGTCTTAGAGCCAGGAGGGACCTCAGGAAGTGGCCAGTACAAATTCCTCGTAGGTTAACAGGCAGCCCAGAGGAGGCCCACAGGTCACCGGGCCTGAGATGCCCTCCCTCCACCCATGCTGGGTGCCACTCAAGCCCCTCCCCTATTAGCTGCCCCTCTGTAGGAGAGGGAAGAGTTCTCCATACGTGTGACATATATTTATAGATGAAATATAGGATGTCTGGGATTCCCAAGGATGCAGAGAGCTTGGTGGGGACACAGATGAAACCAAGTTGGCTATTATTCGAGCCGATAATGGATACATGGAGATTATTATACTATGCTACTTTCGCCTGTGTTTTAAAATTTTCATAAGAAAATACTTTTTAAAAAGTTTTAATGTGTATTTATTTTTGAGAGAGAAAGAGAGAGAGAGACAGAGTGTGAGTGGGGGAGGGGCAGAGAGAAAGGGAGACACACAATCTGAAGCAAGCTCTAGGCTCTGAGCTGTCAGCACAGGGCTGGAACCCATGAACTGCAAGATCATGACCCGGGCTGAAGTTGGACGTTCAACCAACTGAGCCACCCAGACACCCCACAAAAAAACTTTTTTAAATATCATGAGACAGACAGGAAGGAAGGAAGGAAGGAAGGAAGGAAGGAAGGAAGGAAGGAAGGAAGGAAGGGAGAGAAAGAGAGATAGAGAGAGAGAGAGAGAGAAAGAAAGAAAGAAAGAAAGAAAGAAAGAAAGAAAGAAAGAAAGAAAGAAAGAAAGAAAGAGAATCCTCTCTAAAACTCAGGGTGTGAGAAGGTAGGAGTTTCCCGCAGCGCCCTGGTCCAGTGTCCTGCATGTGGCTTTTGGTCAATAACTATGGATGACACTGATAATAATCAGAAAAATGACATGTGAAAAACAAGTGGTACAGAGAAACTCAGTAGATGTGAAGGCAGTCCAGGACTCTATCCTCTAACAAGTACTTCAGCTGATCCACAAATCGGTGGCCCAAGGACCATAGTGTGAGAAAACTTTCACTCATGACTTATATGACATGGGCTGATTTCTAGCTTCCAGTTGGGCTAATTTCCTTTATTCAAGCAAGGCCACTCTAACAGTAGGATGTGGGGATTAACTCAATTTACCTCAACAGCCCAAAGGATCTGAAAAGTGTGATGACAGGTAAGTACTTCCTAAATGCTACACACATAATAACTCCCCCAAAATGTATTGACAGAACAGCCTTCTGTAGTTCTTAAAAATCCTTACATAATAGACTAAAGAAGAACCACTGGTTGGTAACCATTTTATTTGAAGATTTAGTAGAAAAACTGTTCATTACTAAGGAAAAAAAAACAGGAAAAAGCTGAAAGTTCTTAGTATTCATGAAAGTATTTGACTTAAATAATTTTTGAAAACCTTATCATTAGGGCAGCCTGGGTGGCTCAGTTGGTAAAGTGTCTGACCCTTGACTTTGGTTCGAGTCATGATCTCACTGTTCATGGGATCGAGCCCCACATCAGGGTCTGTGCAGACAGTGCAGAGCCTGCTTAGGATTCTCTCTCTCCCCTTTTCTCTCTGCCCTTCCCCCTGCTCTCTCTCTCTCTCCAAATCAATAAACATTAAAAAAAATGAAATAAAACTTATCATTTATTAGAACAAAATATTAATATGCTAGCATTTCTTCAGCAGGTCTAAGGAGCCAGGTCAGGCTCTGGGGAAGAGAGAAACCAACAGTATTTCCCTCTTATTTGCTTGATTCTGCATAAGTTTGAAAGAAGTAGTGAAAATAGTTAACTACAGATAGGGTAACCATATTATTTTCTGTCTAAATGGGATATTTTTGAGAGGGAAAGGAATCATCATTAATATTTATACCAACATAGTCGGTACAGCTTGGGGCTGCCCTAGACAAACCAGTCTGCATAGTCACCCCACCTAGAATGGGTGGGGATGGGGCATGGAGAACAGAGTAAAGAATTCACAAAGTACTCCTTGTTATACTGCTTTGACTTTGGAATCATGTATATGTATTACCTATTGGAAACAATGAAAAATAAAATTTAGAAAACATTTGTGAATACCACAGTCACTGTAAAATTGACTACTGGATTTTAATGGTCTGTATAGTAGAGAAGCATTTAATGATATGTCAACTCCCTATTGGCAGTGTTTGAGGACAAGGTCAGAGCATGCATGAATACAACTACATTCCCATGGGTGAATTTTCCAGTGAAGAGCAGAGGATAGTCAACTTTCATTTATTCAGCCATCCATTCAGTCATTCACTCAGCTTTCCACAAATATTAACTGAGCACCTTTTACGTGCTAGGCTAAGTGCTGAGGCAAGATAGATCCCAACCTTCTCATGGAGCTTTGGGTCCAGAGGAAACTACAGACAGTACATAGGACATAAGAACAACATAAAAAGTGTGGTGGCTAGGAAAACAACAATGCTGTGGGCACATGAGCTTCCCTGAGGACATCACTGAACAGCTGACTAACTCAAAGAATGAATGGATGAAGACAATAACATCAAATGACCTCTTCTGGGGCACCTGGGTGGGTTAGTTGGTTGAGCGCCCGACTTCAGCTCAGGTCATGGTCTCGCAGTTCATGAGTTGGAGCCCCGTGCAGGGCTCTGTGCTAACAAACAGCTCAGAGCCTGGAGCCTGCTTCGGATTCTGTGTCTCCCTCTCTCTCTCTGCCTCTCCCCTGCTCATGCTCTGCCTCTCTCTGTCTCTCAAAAATAAATAAATGTTAGAAAAGATTTTTTAAATAATGACCTCTTCTCTCTCTTCCAAATCGGCAATTTGCTTGTTGTATGACACATGGAGCTACTAATATTTTGGAAGAACAAATATGAACAAACTCAAATTAGTCCATGTGGTTGACAAGAGGGTTTGGTGGTTTGGAAAAGTCCAGAGTTCTGGGTACCAGCTCTTGCACTGGCTTGCTGTGAGACTTTAGAGAAGGTAATGAGACTGGCTAACCTTTAGAAAATATGCAGTAATGGCATTTGGCAAATTGCTGTCTGTGATACTTCAAACCTATAATTCTCTGTCCAACTCACAGATTTTTATCTCTATGTTTTGCTCTACTTCAGTAGTAGGCATTTAATTTTCCCCTCTCAGGACCTTTGCACATGCTGTTCCTTCTGTTTGGAATGGCCTTGCTCTTCACATGGCCAACTCCTCCTCATCTGTTAGATCTCTCTATTTCCCCTATTCAAAGAGGCCTTCCCCGCTCTCTCTATCACAGTTAAGTGTCCTCGTTATTTTCTGTTTCCTTCACGGTTGGTATCATGCTGTGATAAGAGACTGTAAGTTTCGTAAAGCAGGAATGGTGTCTGTCTTGCATCCCTAGGGGCTAGCGCCTGGGAAGTAGTAGGTTCTCAGGGGCTATGTTGAATGAATTGGTAAAAACAAAAAAATAAATAAATAAAAACAGGAAAAAAGTCCTTTAATTTGGTCATAGTCTAATTCCTTGAGTAAAGTGGGAGGTGGCACAGACTGCCTCATCAGCTCACCATTTCCAGCTTAAACGTACCTGTGTCTTGTCCAGACTCACTTGACACAGCAACCCCGCTCCCCCACCGCACACATTTTGGGGTTTAGGGGTTTGCCTGCATTAGTGTTGCTGCAACACTTAAGTGATTGCAGACTGTGGTGCAGGTTCTTGGAGGCAGTTAATTCTGTTTCCAAATCTGGATATTTCTGAGACGTAGCTCCCACAGGACAGTAGCTTTTCTGTCTGCGTATAATTTTTGCAAAACCGTTAATTATTTATAGCAGTTTACACAACGGACATGTAATTCAGCTGGGACTAAAGTAGCAGAGTTGACAAGAAGCCTGCCAATTATGTATTATTTTGGGCCCCTCGGCATAAATCTGTTCTCGAAGCCGGACCAAAAATTATCATACCCCTGGGCCTCTTCCTTCCCGTGTTATATTTCCCCCCCCCATTTCTGCTTTTACATTGAACTTAAGAGGCTACAGCTAGCCTAATTTAGTAGTTGCCACTGAGGACCTGTCACCGTCCTCAACCACTGACTCATCTCTCCATTCATTTTATCAATGACATCAGCCCAGGCTAGAAATAAATACTGAGGAAAAGCCAGTGAGGGGTACGTACAAAGTTTTTCACTTTGGACTCTGAAAATGAATAGTTGTTTTGAAAATGTTTTCATGGTCTCTAATGAATCCAATGTTCTCCCCTCTTACCCTCCAAGGAGGCCTAGATCTCTGAGAATGCCACAGACGATGGAACATGAGAGGGGAGAGGGCCTGAGTTCTAGAATCTAGACTGGTTGTGCAGGCAGAGCCAGTCTTCTTTCCTAATGTATTGGGCGTAGTTCTTGACAGAAAGGGAAGGGTCAGGAATGGCTCCACAAGGTGGGGCCTGAGCGAGTGCAAGGGTGGGGTTCCTGTCAACTAAAATATGAAAAAGTGGGATTTGAGGAGGAAGATCAAGAGCTGAGCTTGAACCAAGTTTGAGACGCTTGTTAGACACCCAAGTGGAGATGCCAGAGAGCCTGCCTTTAGGAAAGCCCTGCCTTCATCAGTGTGTCACTACCACCAATGGTATCCTCACTCCTTTCCTAAAGAAACATGGTGTTTGCCTTCCCTTCTCCCACTTATTCCTGCCTCTAGGAGTTCTTTGGCATTTTTCCTCTTTCCCAGTGTCTTCTCAACTCACTTCTTCCTGTCTGAATTCAAGCCACCCTTCAGTTTCCATTTTTCATTCAATAAACATGTACTCTGAGCCAGACAGTGTATAGGCTGAAGCTGGGTAGGGTCCCTATTTCTCATGGAAGCTTTTCCCTTTACCCACACTGCCTCCTCTGATCCCAACCACACACTGAGCCCCTGCTGCCTGGAGCCCTCCTTCTGACCTCCAGTCATGTACCGCCCTGGTTGTCACTTAACAATTTGGGGTGAATATCCTGCTGTCTGCATCGAGCGCATGGTGCATGATCAATGACTGCTTGTGGATTTCCATTCACAAGTCTGGTTGGTTTATTTGGTCTACAGAGCCTCTCTCTCTGGATGTACCTCCAGACCCTGTCCAAGGTCTCCCTACCTAGGGGTCTCCCTGGAACAAGAAGGAGGAGAATAAAGAGAAGAGGGAAGAGAGGGTCTAAGTTGTCAATATTGGACTCCTGCCTTTCATCTAACGGGCTACAAGCCCTTGACTCTTCTCCAGCACACAGCCCTGCCCCACTGAGCCAAGTTAATTAGCACTTCTGTGAGAAGGAGGCTGCGTGGTGTCCCATAAACAGCATGGGCTTTGCTCTCAAGCGACTTGGGCTTGAATTCTGGCTCTACTACCTACTAGCTGGCAACATTAAGCAAGCCACTTAGCTTCTATCACCCTCATCTTACTTCTGTAATAATACGCTTTCAAGGTTTTTGTGAGAATTAATATACATATAAAGCAGATAGTACAGTGCCAGACATATAGAGCTGCCCAGAAAATAAATGCCATCTTCCCTGAAAGGGCCCACTGGGACCTTCTCTGATTCTCATGCTGGACCAGGCCAATTCTAGTAGGGGTAGCTCTTTGCCTGCTGGCTTCGGCCAATTCCAGAGGGCAATGTATTACCTAACGACTCTCAGAAGTGAGTCCAGCTTGAGGTACATGCCTCACAAGAGTGGACAGTTGATGTGTCCCCAGGAGAACTATGCATGAGAGAAAGAGAGTGCTTATGGAGAAATTACAAAGGAGTTATGGGGATTCCACATAAACATTCATTTTCTTCTCTTGTATCTCGACAACTTCCCTTACTCCTAGTTTTTAAAAAAATTTTTCTTAATGTTTATTTTTGAGAGAGAGAGAGAAAATGTAGGTGGGGAAGGGGTGGAGAGAGAAGGGGACACAGAGTCTGAGGCAGGCTCCAGGCTCTGAGCCATCAGCCCAGAGCCTGACACGGGGCTCAAACCCATGAACCAGGAGACCATGACCTGAGTTGAAGTTGTATACTTAGCCAACTGAGCCACACAGGGGCTCCTCCTCACTCTTAGTCTGATAAGACTTAATCCCAATAATTTTAGGGGTGACAGAAACTTTAGCCTTTCTCTACTGCTCTAAGAGTGTTAGTGTGATTGGACATAGGTGAAGTGTTGCTGGAAGGACCAGCCACCAAGCTCCTAGAACAGCAAAGTGAGTCACAAGGCTCAGTATACACAGGCCAAATCAAGTAGAGGACTCTCTCCTCAACTCAGTCAAGAATATCTGAATAGCTGAGAAAGAAGAAAGGGATTATGGACTTAAATTATAGGGGAACAATTCTCTGCAACTTCTTCAATGCACTCTCAAAGGGATGATTCCATGTAGTCCTTATCCCTCTCTGGGGATGTAGAGTCCCCAGATCATAGATGAGAACATTGCTCAGAGCAATTACAAGAATAGAGTCATGCTCAGAACCCAGGTCTTCTGATCCCAAGACCAGTATTCTTTCCCCTCTATCCTGCTATATATAGGTCTCAATTCCCCTCTTCCTTCACAATGAGCATACCTGACAATCAACTCACTGATTAAATCCCACATTTTATGCCTCGCTTGACTTTTTAAGAGGATGTCATGTTACATTTTTTAAGTGCCCATTTTCCTATGATTTGTCAAAACCTGAAGTTTGGCCATGGAAGAATCTATGTGAGGGCTATGACTTTCCTTTGCTTGAGTTGTCCAACAGGTAGTCACCAAATCTGGGTAAATACAACTAATCTCCTCATATGGGTAGGAGCAAATCAAAACCCCATCTCTTTACCCTTTCTTTCATTTTGTGTTTTTTAGGTAAAGGGTGAGAAGTCTCCAGCTCTGCAGAACAGCTAACAGATAAATATTTAATAGGAAAGAGCACTGGGCTGAAAGTCAGGGCAACATTCTGCCTAGTCAGCAGCCCTCACCTTTGCCCCTGCACCATCCCCTTTAAACACACCCATCTGCAGGCTCAACTCAGTCTGACCTCTAGGGCCAGTCCTGTCCACAGCCCAGTGGGTAGAGCCCAATACTAACTTCCTTTTCTGGCCCCTGCCTTGAATGCTCTTGCTTTACTCTCTATAATGAACCCCATATTTCACCTGATCATTGGGTTCCTGCCCTATTTCTTAAATGTGAATGTTCATGTTTATCTCTTGCCAACTACTTCAGTCTCTGTGGGGCAGAGTTTCTGAGTTTCTAGTGCCAGAGGCTGTCCCAGAGATGGACACCTGTTCCTGAAAATGGTCCAGTGCCTGGGGACTTGCTCCCCGTCACCAGGGCACCAAACACCACTTGCCTGCAGGGTCTCTCAACGTCATTTCCTCCCAGCTTGTCCTTGGGTTCCAACAGCTGTTGGTTATACTATTTCTTTCTGTAGCCACAACCTTCAGAGACCTCATTGTTTCCCAGGCTGTACCTGCTCTTAGCAAAGGTCTCTTGGTGTGTTGTTCAGGTGTCTGTCTCATTTAGGTAGGTACACTTAGTCCTGGGCTCTGATCCTCATGGTCTGTCCCATCTGACTAGCAACCAGGTCATGCAAGCCACCTCCAAGACAGAGGAGTGCAGAGAAATGGTTCTAGTCTTGGCCCTTCTACTAATTAGCTGAGTGGCCCCGGGGAAGTCAAGTGACCTCCCTGAGCCTCCTCTCTTAGCCTCAGAATGGTGAGGACGAAAGGTGCTAAGTGTATAGCGTAGGGGGCATCTGGAACTTTGCTAGATCATCTGCAATTTGAGGACTGTGTAAGTTCCACATTTATACAATTCGTTTATACAATGAATAAGATGGAAAGCCATTGTTCTCAATATACAAACTTACATACCGGTGATGGTTAACTTTATATGTCAATTTGACTAGGCGTAGGGACACTCAGATGGCAGGTTTCTGGCTATGTCTACAAGTGTGATTCCAGAAGACATTAGCATTTGAGTAGGCAGAGTCAGTAAGGGAGATTGTCCTCAGTAACGGGCATCATCCAATCTGCTGGGAGCCCTAATAGAACAAAAAGGTAGAGAGAGGGCAGATAGGCTCTCTCTTGCTCTCTCTCTCTCTCTCATTGAGCTGGGAACATCCACCTTCTCCTGCCCTCAAACACTGGTGTTCTTGGTTCTTGGGCCTTTGGACTCAGACCAAGATTTATTCAAACAGTCCCCAATTCTCAGGTCAACTTTTCAGCCTCCGTAGCAACCATAGCAAATTCTTATAACAAATCTGTCTCTGTCTCTCTCTGTGTCTCTATCTCTGTCTATCTCTGAGACTGTTCTATATATACTTGTGATTCTGGTACGTCTAGAACAAATCAAAGAAGCTTGGTTGCCATAGGCTGCCAGCCTAGACAATCTCAAGGGAGCCCGAGGCCCCAAAGAAGGGATACAGCTATGTAGAGTGGGTTCTCATAACTCTCTGCCCCTGACCAGGTCTTGCCTAAGACTCATTTTCAACACGGCACTCCAGGCAGCCTAAATCAGTTGATCACAAGATAAAACTTATTGCTCTCCTTTCCTGGAGCAAATCTCACCGTGTATAACCATTGCCCAAAATATATTAACTCACATCAAGTTCCATGCACACCAGAGACACTGTGGAAGATGGGGGCTGGCACCAAAGGACAAGGAACTGCCGGGCAGCGGCCCGGGGAGAGGAGAAGAGGTACTCTTGCCTTTTACTCAGCTCTGGGTTGTGCGCTCGTAGGAGCTTCGAGCCTTTTCTGGCTTTCCTGACACGCTCCTCTGCTACTTGCACAGCCACATGCTCTGTTCTGGATGGCAAGGACAAGTCCTCCCCCCAACTGTGGTTTAACCCAACTTCTACCCTGGGAACATTTCAGAGCAAGGAGAGGTGAATCTTCATGAATGCATCTAAATGACCTATTCTGGACATTCCCAAAATAAGCTCTTTTGCATTGAGATCACTCCTTATACCTGGAAAATTCTATAGATTTTATAGACCAGAGGGAGACATAAGTTCCTATCTATAAAAACGAACAAAGTATGTTTGTGTAGAAATACGTATTTCACTTTCTTTAACCAGCTATCCTATTTGTTACTTGCTCTCTGAATCCAAAAAGCTGAGTTTATTTTTCAAAATAAACAACGATAACACAATGCAGCCCGTGCCCACCAGCGAGCTTGTAGAGGGCCGGGTGGCTGGCGGTGCTGGCAGAGTGCGGAGCGTTTCCCGCCTGCTGCTCACGTTACGTCCTGCCTTAGATGGCGTGTGCTAGAAAGAAAATACTCCTATCGTTCACAACAATCCTGGAAGGTAGTTTAGACAAGTGTTATTCTGCAAATGAGGAAGTTAGAGCCCAGGGAGGTTAAAGGGCCTGACTTTTCTGCCGCTCTCAGGGGGACCGCAGCTACGACAGTTCTGCTCTGCTACGGCTTGCGACTGACTGTTCTCTCCTCGCCATCTCAAGAGACACATTTCCATGCATGGAACGTCAGTGCCCACAAGGGAAACTTCTTGATCACCAGCGAGCCCCAAATGAAACTGCTGTCCTAACTAAGTGACTCTCTAAGGAAACAGATGCAGGGCCACAGTCACAGGTAATGTAGGGACAGTGGTGGAAGAGGTCACTGAGGGAATGTGACCACTGTTTGATGGACAAGCTGAACCCAGGCGATCAGAGGCCCCTCCCCCCCTTCCCCTGGCATGTTCTGCTTGCCTTCCTCATGTCAGAAACTCCTCCAAGAACACAGCCTTGATGTGGTCTTGAAGCCATCTGGATGGTATTGTTGACTGAATCCAGTCAAGGCCTCTCCATAAACTTTTAAGATCTGGTAGCCAGGTATGAAGATCTACTCTTCCTGAGGCCGCCCAAGAGAGGCCACGTTAACAAGTTCCCGTGCTTATTAAGTCTACCACCGACCACTCAGGAGTGTTCTGCCCCTTTCTTTGGTCTTTCCTTTTCTTGCGTGTACGGGGGCTAGTTTGCAAAGAGGCACAAGTTGCAAGTTCATCTGGATACCCACAGTGATCACTCTGGAAATCTCCGTACATGCCACTCCATGCCGAGCCACATGAGCAGATCAATGAATCTTTCTACCTCTCTGGGGCCCGGTTGGTAAGATGGGCAAAAACTAAGAACACTCACCTCACAGGGCCGTCACGAGGGGGAACTGAGACTATTGTTTTGAAAGCACTGGACTTCCATACCAATGCCACTGTTATTATCACTAGGTAGTTGGAGTGTGGAATATAGAAATAACAGATGGTTTCTGCTTCCTCTTCAAGAGATTGCAGTTGAGGAGGGGTATACACTGTGTTCACAAGACAACTGCATTCCCGAAGAACTACCTCATTCAAAACTCACGTAATTCAGGTTTAATTTTTTTATAATCACAAAATGGGCCAGGAGATGGGTTCTCGGACTGTACACATCTGTAATAATAGTAGCATAAGTTTGCTTTAACGATGCTCTTTTTTTTTTTTTTTAATGTTTTGTTTATTTCTAGGAGAGAGAGAGAGACAGCGTGAGCAGGGGAGGGTCAGAGAGAGAGGGAGTCACAGACTCCGAAACAGGCTCCAGGCTCTGAGCTGGCAGTCAGCACAGAGCCCGACGCGGGGCTCGAACCCACGAACTGCGAGATCATGACCTAACCGAAAGTCGGACGCTTAAATGACTAAGCCACCCAGGCGCCCCAATGATGCTCTTTTAAAAGCCCTAGCAATATCCCTTTTATTTTGTGGTCTTTCCCTACAATTAACAGCACAGAGGGTCATGGCCGCTGCCAGGCCTTCTTTACCTATTGCATCTGACTTCATTTCATAGTAACTCACAGCACATTTTCAGCGCTGTTCCTTCATAAAAGTTTAGATGGTACTATCATAGGCTAGAAAAGATATCAAACTCTGTATACAATGCATGTTAAAATAACAGCACTGGTGTCAACAAAATCACTCACAAAAGCCTCTGCCCGAGATTCACACGATGGTTCCCCCAGGATAGTGACCAAGACCTATGCGAGTTTGGGTTTACTGCTGATATAAGTGTCCACCAGACAAGGGCCTAAATGTGGTTTAAATTTCACGAAGTTGGTGCTCTGGCTCTGTGAAGCCGTTCCGGACAAACCATACAAATGTGGAGGAACTTTGCACTATTTTAAATGTTGCCTGTTCAGTGGTATTTTATTACTATTTTACATAGCATTATTTAAAATTTACATAATTCAAGTATACATGAAACTGAAGTGCATGGTTCACATAAGGGCAACTTAGAGCAAGTAGCATTCAAGGGGCCTCTAAGCCCTGAGAATAAAGGTGGGAATGACTTGACGCTGGCAAGGGGCCATTCCCCTAATTGGGGGATACTTTTTGAAGAAGGAACGTTTTTGAATACACTGAATAAAAATACATTTTGAACATGTCTGAATAGAAAATCATTTGGAATGTGTTGAATAGAAGACATAGTCTAATTACTATAATATGCCAATTCTTTTTGTACCACTGGAAATTGCTCAGTTTCAGAATCAGTAGTTGTTCTTCCGATGGCTGCACTTTTGAAGGAAGCTGGGATCCTTCCTATGTTGCAAAGCCTTTGGCTATCACTCAGCCCCATGATAAGTACCCAGGGACAGGGAAGGAAGCCACCCTCAAAGGTTAAGTTCTGCCCAAAATTCCTGGGGTGGCGGTGGGGGCAGGGGCAGAATTTCAAACTCTACTTTGTCAAATACAGGGCAGGGATCATACAATATTTCCCAATAACTAAAAGCAACCACTAATATCTACTTGAAAGAAGCTTAAGTGGGACTTCTATCTTTGGTTGCCAAAGGATACATTAAGTCTTTTTTGGTGGCTGTATGAATAATAAAATAAATAGTTTAGGTTGCTTAGGGGAACATAATGCATATTTTTATCCTGAATGGGCAATTTGAAATCCATGCTTTAAAATAGTAACAAAATTTCTTCTCTGCTTGAATTAGCACATCAATCAGTTAATCAACAAATATTTATTAAGTTCCTGCAACAGGAACTTTGACTTCCCTGTTTAATAACACTTGACAAATTCTCTCATATCCTGTCAAGGAAAATATTCCCTCTACCCTATCATTTTAAAACATGTTTATTTTTCCATTTCATCTTTGGGCTAGCTAATGGTGTTTGTGAT